TCACTTAATGTTATTGGTTCTTTTCAATATCTATTGGCTTTGTTGTTTCTTTTTTTTTTCTTGGAAGATTAGACGTTCCTAGTGTCATCTTGCTGTCTTTCGTCTTAGTCTTTTTTATTTTTATTTTTTTTAAATAACTTGGAGTGGGGTTAAGATCGATTTCATGTTATGGCAAGAATTTGTGTTGATCACTCGAGACTTATGTTAATAAAGTTTGATGTTTTGTTTGTTGTTTTATGTCACGACATTTGATTTGGTTTAAGTTTTGTGTACTGACATTAGAGGTTTTATAGTATCGGATTAAATTTACCTATAATAGGAGATAGCTCCTAATAGGGATCGGAGTCTGATAATTAACATTCAAAATAAAGTAATGTGACCTTCCATATCTAATTAAATTGCACGGATAATATAGAACAATTATATCAGTGCAGGTAATTTAATCCCTTATGATAAACATGTGTATTTTAATATTAAAATTAATTAACTTCGAACACTAAGTGCAAAATATATGACATTTACACTATCGTCTAGTCTCTGAAAGTTCATAATAAGTGTAACTAGTTACTTAGAATTTAGATAAAGCAAGGGTTATGTTATAATAAGTTAAAGTATATTATATCAAAAATTATTATATCATTGTATAATAAATCCGTGACTCTTTATTTAATGCGGAGTTCATTCTTTAGGCGAGGAAAAGGACAATTTTCTTCTCATGGCGGTTCATTTTTCAATACTTGATCTAAAGAATTAATTGCGTTCTTTCGTTGTTTCTTTTGTTAATTTATTTTATTTATCATTTGGTGGCTGGATTAATTAAGAAATGCTACTTCCTTGCCTTTCATGATCGCCTCTTTGATTTCTTTAAAACGTGAGTAGAACGTTCCTTGTTTAGTAATATTTGTCCAAGTTTTTCCTTGTAAACTATGTCCCCATCAACAAACTTGCCTTATTTAGTATACAACCTTGTGTAGATGTCGTTGTATTTCCGCAATACTATTGTTCAGTCAATGAGCTAACCATTCCGTTCAATATTTGTTTACGTTTGTGTACTTAAGTATCACATATATAAGTCATTTTCTATATAAAAAAAATACTTTGGGAGTTAATTTAATTTTGGTGCTTGGTTATTAGAAAATATTTTTCTTGACAATTATATTAACTTTTAATTTCATATTACTTGCTTCATTATAGTTACACTCACCAATCAAACATCGAAACATATTTTTGTCGAAAGTAATTTTCGTGAAAACACATTTTTTGAACAAAACTTTTTCCCGTGAAAATAACCTCCATAGGGTCATACCAAACACAGAGTTATAGTTAAGATTTTCAGGGTGGATAAAAATTCCCCATAAAATTGAAACCAAGCATAAATTTGGCACTCACGATGAAATTATTAGTAAAAAATCTATATATTGATAGCCCAATCCTTAAGATGGTAATTTTTCAAATACATATTCTCATAAGTAGAGATATAATAATATTGAGTAGGGGTTCAACAATATAGGTCTCACGAGATACAAAAGTAAAAATCTCTCTCAACTCCTCCTTTCCCTTCCCCTTCCTTTACTTAGCCACTAGTAAATAAACATCACATTTAATGAAAATCTTAGATAGCAACTTGCAGCTTCTTAAATGGAACCATAGTTCTCATATAAGTTTCTGCCTCAGCATTCTTCTCATCATCTTTGAGAAATTCTTCCACAATTTCCAAGCAAGGTTTCAACACCATTTCATTCCAAACATCATCAGCTTCATTTCCAGATTTTTTGTGCACGTTGGTCACATCAATTTAGTGAATTGGCCACATTTTCTCGTTCCTCAGACGTCGAATTTTCTCAAGTTGGCAACACACTAATTTGCACGTATTAAGCTTAATTTCTTCAATGGCTGATTCAAGGAGTATCTGCTTAGCTGCTTCATTAATATTTGATTTGTTTTCCTCTCTTAAATACCTGTCCATTTCTGGAACACCAATGGATCGTCGGATTCCTTTGGTGTTATCTGCCTCAGGAACAAATATTCCTCGTACCTCATCCACTAACCCTGAGCCGCGCCATAATTAATTCAAGAATCATTTGATTAAAAACAGAAAAATTAAAAGAAACTAAATTAATGCATAATTAACACGGTAGCATGTTTAAACTGTGGTTATGCACGCTCCATGCATACGTGTAGTCAATTCTTTGTCATATATGAGAGAATTACAGGTGAGATCAGATGACGAAAAGGAAAATTTTTAAAACGTCTCTAATTTTATTAGAGTTTTGATAATAACAATTTTTTCACTTTGTCATGTCAAATCTCTTAAAAGACAACTATTTATACACTACGATTAACCACTACGAAAAATAATTTGGAATTAGCTACGAACTTCGTCGCTAATCTGTTGCTAAATAGTCACTAATTCGTCTCTAATTAAATAGGATTAGCGACATATTTTTCTATTAAGCTACAAAATTTGTCTGTCGCTAATTCTTTTTTTTTTTAAAAAAAAATAGTTAACCTAATACAAAAGAGATTTATAAACTGACCTGCATGGACCATGTGATCAACCCTTTTGGAAACAGAAGAGTGTAAAACAGGCAAGGCAACATCAACCCAAATGAAGCAACAATTGTACTTTGATTTAAACTTGAACACAGGATTCTCCACAAGTGCCTCAATGTAAGTATTAGATCCTCCAACAATTATTGGAATATGGCCAGATTTCAGCACATATTCTATGTTGAAAATAGCTTGATAACAGAAATCCTCAGCCGTGAAGTCAGCTTCCGGATCAAATTCACCTAGCGATTAATAAATTATAAAATTGAAGTTAAATTACTATTTATTCGTTTGGTATAAATATTGAGGTGAAGATAAGTTTTTACCTAGCAAATGGTGCGGTACACCTTGTTTCTCAGGGTCTGTGATTTTGTTTGTAACAATGTCAAGTCCCTTATACACTTGCATTTTGTCAGAATTGATGATTTCTGCTGGAAAATGAGTGGCGAGGTCAACTGAGAGACGAGATTTTCCAGTTCCAGTAGCTCCCATTATGAACACCACTTTCTTCTTGTTCAACCCGTCATTGATGAAGGAGTTCATGCTTCTACATATGTAAAAAAATGCAAAATATAGATGTTAGATTAAAATATTATAGTTAAATCTAATTAACTATATTTATATTTATTTTTAATATATATATATATCTATATATATGTATATTTATTTATTTATTTTTGAACAAGAAACAATGGTTGCTGTCGAACCCACGATTTCTATTTATCTGTCAATGTTCATGAGGCCACTTCAAATAAGTGAAGCATAATAATTATTAGTAGTATAATTTTTCTTGCATAAATGAAGAGAATACTATGATCATGATAAAATGACATATATAGTAGGACAGTACATATTTACGGCATCAAAGTAAATAAACAATAGATTTCACATAAAAAGAGAATTAATATATCTATTATTGAATACCATATAAGAGGTAGAAACCTTGTGAAAACGCAAGTACTAGTAGTGTATGTTGATTGTGTATCTTGTTGAAGCAAGATATATACTATGTAAATATGTTTTGCTTGAACGTGGTTAAGGGAAAGAAATTATATTCAACTTTTTATACTAAGATTTGGGTGTGGACTAATTAATGGTTGAAATATTTTAGGATTTTCTAGATTTGAAGATTATTCCTTGAAAATGTGATACATGGTCATAACATGACTTTATCCACTTTAATTTTCATCCTTATGTAGAAAATGTATATGAATGACATTAATGATCTTCCTTTCCTTTTTATCTTGCTCCTAGTTTTATCTCCTAATTTGCTATTCTAGTTATGTGAGAAAGGGGTATGTATTTTAATTCATTCCCTTCGATTTTTATGATATTATCACCCTAAATACCCAAATATTTAACAACGACATTAGGAGTCGGCATTTAGGTGCAGGGAATTTGTTTATTATTTTTGAAATAATTTTCGGTTTGACAGTTTTTGTATAAATTTTGAACCAAAAGCTAGCTAGTCTCTTCTATTCATATTTTCATGTTTTCTATCAGTGAGAGTAAAATTTATCTATCTGAAAGACGGTGGATCAACCACTGATCTGATCCAGTGGTGTAAAGTGCAGATTAGTGTTAATCATATCCCAGATATAATTCTACATCATGCATGAATATTTTCGTGACTAAGAGGATACATATGAGATCAAATCTATAGTGAAAACTCATGCTTTTAGTGTCCTTTTACATTTATATATTACCGATGGAGTACACAAAATTTTTAATAAGCTATAGATATCGATATTTTAAGAAGTGAATAAATGAATCAATTATTGGAACGGTATTATACTAAAATAAACACAATTCAATTGCATTACTGCAACTATCTTCGACGAGCTAGCTTTTATTTTTTTGAAATATATACTTGATAGTCTCTTTAGAAGTTGTACTCCGTCTGACCTAATTTATGTAAAGGAGTTCGGAGTATGAGAGTCAAAACACTTAATTTTTGATGTAAATTGACGCATAGATTCTTCAAGTATATTAAATTAAACTTTACATATACATCATCAACGTTGTTTCGAACACAACTCATACATTCCAAAATCACCTACTCCGACTGTTTAACCAAAAAATAAGTTTCTCGGTCAAAACCTATTTTTAGAAGAACTCGGGTTACTGATAACCAAGAAATTCCGTACTTTCTCAATTATATGAAAGGAAATAAACGTGACAAGAAATATGGAAATAATTGATTGAAAACAAAAGAAAGTAATTGTATTCCAGTAAGAATCAGAACGTGCCTTTACAAGTGAAATTCTCTTCCCTTATATAGGAGTTTACAAATATAACATTTCATTCCTTTTATGTCTGAGTCATTATGAGCATTAATGACATTAAATGAACCGTTATAATTGGCGATCGTA